TCCTTGTATCTTATGATTTTATCCATATTTGTAACATTAGGATATATCCATGCCTCCATTATAGATAACCAAACTGGCACTTTCAGGTAGTGTTGCTCTTTGATTTTGGTCCATACTAGCAATAATGCATTCCTAATGCAATGCCTCTGGAATTATCCTCATACCATAAAAAGGCATGCCATCCCAATTGCAGATCATGGACCTCCAGTGCTAATAACCTTGTATTCCTCAAATTAATCTACTCTTTTGCCCATGTAAGTGCCGATGTTTGATAGTATAGCTTCCAATCCGGAAGGCCAAAACCTCTTCTTCTAGCATCTCATAGTATTTTTAATTTTATTCTTGCTTTTTTACCTTGCCATACAAATTTTAATATCATCTTTAGTTCTTCAAAATATTGTTTCCCTAGCTTTATTCGGATTGTCTGAAACAGGTACAGTAATCTCGGTAGGATATTCATCTTAATTGTAGCTATTCTACCTAATAGAGACAATTGTAGGCTTTTCCAATTTTCCAAATCTGTTTTGTGTTTTCAGTTATCTGATTTGATAAAGATACATAGATAATCCTTTACCATTGGGTCATTGTTTCAGAGATAATTTCCTTCTTTAAAATTCAGGAGATATTCAAAGAAGTATCTGCCTTGAAAGTAGCCCATGTGGAACTGAAATTAGCAAATTTTAAAAAACCGTTTTATGACATACAAATTATCCTAAAACATTTTGTGACATAATACATTCCATGTGGTCAACTCCTGATACAGTCAAGTAATTTCAGTTCCACACGAGTTCCAGATTTTGGACACATTCTTTAAGGTAGGCCATTCAAGTTACCTTGATTAAAAAACTGTTGGTTTATGATGCACTGTGTCACCCAGCTAAAGATTACACATAGATGTTTAGTAGTGTAATTGACAAACCATGGCTAGGTCATCCTTCCAGAAATATTTCCTTGAAAGGAAGGTTTATCAATGCCTTCAACAGTGACAGAACTCCTAATGTACTGCCTTCACTGGAAAAGTTGAGATTCCTTCAGAAATGTATCTGCCTAAAAATAGCCTGTGTTGAACTGTATAGCACAGCTAAACATCAACATAGGAAATGTTTTATGAGTTTGTATTATGCCAAAACTATTTTATTATTATGTGATAAAATATTTTATACAATTTGCAAAATTGCTTTTTTTTAATTCATGTCTTTTTAAAAATCATAATACTGAACATTGATCCAACACTTTTTAAGCATTTAATTTGTGAATAAGCACTATTTGTAATTTTGGAGAGTTGGGGACAGTAACAGTGAATCTGAGACAGCTATGTTAGGCTTGTTCACATCTGCTTTTAGAATTTTCTTTCTGTCTCTTAGTTGAACAGAGCATTCCAAGAGGAGGAGTCTCCATCTATATTCTACTGCATCAGTATGCAATGGTTCAGAGAATGGGAAGCATTTGTGAAGGGCAAGGATAACGGTGAGTATTTTCGTAATTCAAAGAGACTGCAAGAACATGCTATATAAAGATCACATGGTTTTAATTAGGTAGTAAATAACTGCAGTAAAATCATGGAGCAGTACAATGAATTCTGCAGAAGTTAAATAAAATAGAATAGCACCCAATAAGAGTATATGACAACTATGCATATGGATAAAGTCCTATTGGATTTGCAGTTTAGGAAGCCTTGGTAAATGGTTTAATGGGTGGATTTCTTTCAATTACAAACATTTTTCAAATTTGTATGCAGCTGTTTCAAATTGTACACCCGATTGAAATATGCATTTTGCTACGTTTTATTATGTGGAGTTTTTAAATAATTTATAAAATATAAGAGGAATTTTCTTTGGGGCTTTTTTTTGTTTAAATAGTATTATCTCACATTGTAACATATTTATTTCATTAGATCCTCCAGGTCCCATTGACAATACCAAAATTGGTGTCAGTAAATGTGGTTCGCTTGTTCTAAAACAAGGTATGAATACACTGATAATAGTTCTCTGCATGCAAATTTAACAGTGGTCATGTTCATTTATGGTTGTTTTGTGTATGATCTCTACATTTTTCCTATGTGATTACCAGTTCCATAAACAAGTAAGCTCCATCTATTCTCAAAAGTATAGAATATAGAGAAAGCTCTATAAAATTCAAACAAAATTCAAACAAAAAAAGGAAGATGTCAGCTTATTTTCCAAAGCACAAGGCAAGACAAGAAATAGTGAATGGAAACTAACCAAGGAGAGAAGCAACCTGGAATTAAGGAGAAATCTAACAGTGAGAAAAATTAACCAGTAGAACAGCTTGCCTTTAGAAGTTGTGGTTGCTTCATCATTTGAGGTTTTTAAGGAAACACTGGACAGCCAATTGTCTGAAATCATATAGGGTCTTCTGCTTGAGCAGAGGGTTGGGCTAGAAACCTCCAAGGTCCCCTCCAGCTCTATTCTGACTGATTGATTGTATTTATTGCTTCTCCAGTTAGCTTCTCATATAGATTCACTATATCCCACTCCACATAATATAGAAAAAAGAAATTACATTATTCTCTAGCCTTCAGCTGTAATTAAAATGTTTTTAAATACTGCTGCATCAACAAGCTTATATTGTAATCTAGTTGTATTAATTACTAAATAAGAGCAGTCCTTGAAATCTGTATGTGACAAAAATCTTGTATTTGACACTTGTTATTGCTGTTAAAAAGGAACTATGAATTTGTTTCTAAAAGTCTATGTGGCTTTGTCATCTGTCGCTATAGTGATTTTCTGAACATACTTTTTTTGTTTAAAAATATGGACATTTCTACCTTTATGGTGCAGAAATTAAACATTGAAAATCTGAACAGGTATTTTAAAATGTGTGAAAGAAATTAAGTTCCCTTTACATAATTACTCACAAAGACAAAATAACATCAAACAGTAGGTAATAGGTTGAGCTGTATCATCTATATCACATCAGTTACAGACCAATCCAGATAATACTAAATTTCTTAAACCTGAGTTTTTTATATTATTTATAAATACTGAAGTGCTTTCCAGATTTAATCTTTTAAAATGTCAAGTAAACTTTATGGAAATATGTGTGTCTTTTAGGAGCTGATTCTGGACAGATTTCAGAAGAAACATGGAATTTTCTACAGTCAATCTATGGAGGCGGCCCAGAAATCATACTGCAACCACCTGCTGCTCAAAGTGAATCTGAATCATTACAGACTGAAGATAAAGTAGAATTAGAAACACATAGACTGTAGCCATCAAATCAAGGAATGAATTCTTACAACATACCTTCCACTTGCAACATACATTCCCAAGATTTTTCAAGTTGCTATTTTTATCTTTATTTTTTTCTGTGAAATGACAGAATGGTAGACATTTTATCTATGGAAAGTGAATTGAAACACATATTGGCCAGTGACCGTAATCAAGAACTGAACTGAGATTGTAACCTCTAATATACACATGTACACATTAGAACTTTTTAAAGAGACTTTGGAATTGTGATCTTATTCTACATCATTGTATATATATATATATATGTAAAGTTTCTGCATTATAAACATAATTGGTCTATAAACTAACAGGATGTCTCCAAGTTCTATCAAGACAAGTTGTCAAGGTTATTGAACATTTGATGGAAAGGTGGCATTAGTTAGCAATTAATAGAAATTATAAATGTTGTACGAAAACTCAGGAATAGTAATGTTTTCCTTGTGTGTATCAGATATGTAAACAGTTCAGATGAATCACTGTTTCAGTCAACAAATATAAATAATCTATGTACTGTTTAAATTATCTAATATGTTTTTGCTGTATATAAATTATTCTCAATAACATATGTAACTGAACAGATCTATAATCTCTAGGAATATGTGATTTTAAGAGCATGAAAGGTACATTAATTGCTCATGCAATTTAGGACATTTTTAGTTTTTTTTTAAAATTCAATGCATTAAGAGTTCCACATGGAGAAAATTTATAGTAATGCAGTGCTCATTGGCATGATATATGATGTCAGATGTTGAATTGAATGCATTCAACAAGATTGCAAAACATTCTAGATTATTCATATTGAAATGTTGAATGTCATCCAGATGATTTTTTTTCTGAATATTGCCACGATATAGATAATATAAAATGCTAGTTTAATAAAGTCATTTTTAAAATCGCATAAAGTGTTTGACCTTCAAATCAAATAAAGTTATGTATCACAGATTCATCCCACTGAACTTCAGAGAAATTAAAAAATGGAAGACAAAATTCGTTTTGACTGGAAAACCCTTTAAAAAAAATCACCTTTGTATAGAAATTGTTCATAAGGTATAAAATCAGAAAAAGAGAAAAACTTGTTTTGTTAAATTGATCTTATGTATGAAAAGGAATGCTTTCATTTACAAATAATTACAGGAAAAATAGAGTGAAACATAAAAAGTTTACCAAATCTAATATTATTTTTCAATTTAAACAATTAACTTGTACTATTAGAGCTGAGATGCATAGTGGGTACAAATATTGTAAGGTTAGCTCAGGACTCTTACAGCAATACTATTCATCCCTGATAGGAACTAATGTTACACGTTCGCATATAAACTTTATTTCAGAAGTTACAAAAAGAAGAAAAAGTCTTGTGCTTTCATTCTTCTCCTTCCATTCCATAGACACCCATGTTTTAAACATAAATGCAATCACTTTGAATGGGAAGAATAAAAATTATAGCATTTAATGTTGATTGATTGTGGCGAAACAATCTTTGCTGAATATATCTTGCCATAACTGGTCATAATTTTAAACAAGTTTTACATGATGCAAATGCAATCATTTGTCCTTAAGTACACACAACTTTGCAAACAATATTAGTAATATTTTTGAAGACCTACAGTCATCAGGGCTGTGCTTTGGGTGCAAGCAAACAAATACAGCTTCTGCTTTCAATATTTTAAGAAGTATTCGCAGCTTTTCCGTAATGTAAATCCATTGCTGAGAATGGGTAAAGGGATACCCTGTGATGGACTGTGCCTACAAAGGAGGTGGTGGTGTGGTGGACTATAGTAAAGCAAGAGTTTCCCAAGATGGAGTTCATTCCAAGGAGAGAGGTAAAACGAGACAACACATCCCGCAACTGGATTGGAATCAAAGATAGCCACTCCTAGAATCTCTTGGTATATCCATTAGGGTAAGAATAGTCAGGGTTCAGTCTGGCAAGATTCTGATCATTTGATGTGAACAAACAAAGAAATGGACTTTGGCTGGATTGTTTTATGTTCTAAAGCCTGATAAATGCTTTATTAAGAAAGAAAGGGAAGGAAGGATTTCTGATGCTCCCTGTCAGCTTCCCACAAGGAAACTCAATGGGAAAGCCATCGGGAAGTTAGAACTTGCTGCTAGTTCCACTGCTTTTTTGTCCCATCACCCATATGACATATCCTGTTGGTTTGATAAGAAACTCAATGTTTATACTGAATATTATTTTCAAACCAGTTATATATCCATTTAATTTTCTTGCCAACCAACCACTAGTTTACAAAGTAGAAAATCATGGAATACTTTGAAAAACACATTGCTAAAATTTAGATGCATTATACTAGTATTCCTACAATCAAGGAACTTAACTAGTTTAGAAAATGAAATAGAGTGTAGCAAAACTTCCCATAAGGGGTGGGAGACACTGTATTATTGCCATAAAGGAAGCCATGCCCAAATTGTCTTAACAGTTTCATTTAAGAAATTTAAAAGATAATGGAGAAAATAGAGATTTGATGAGGCCATGGCCTTAAAACTGAGTCTTCCAGCAGGCTCTTCTGTGTTTACTCAACCAGATAAGATTACAGTAGAATAATTACACAAGTACTTTTTCCAAACTACTCTAGCAAAATCCCCTATTGGCTCATTGCCTCAGAAAGATACAATAATCCATGGTAGTAACGCTACTGAAAGGACCAAAAGAACCAGTTGGAATCTGTACCTAATCCAGTTCCTGAAATGCACTATTCACCAAACAGCAAAGGGTTTTTTTGTCTTAAAATTTCTGGCCTAAGCCTATACTGGAAAATGTGGATGTTCTGTACAGAAGGTAGGATGTTTATTAATGTCATATATTTTGCTAATTGGCAATATTAAAAACATCTTCAAAACAAAAGTATAAATATGATGTACTATAGATAGCATTTTGCATCTACACTTCAACAAAGATTGTGATGCATACTCTATTTGGCCAAAAACTTTTGCTTACAAAAACTAGGAGTCTGTTATAATAAATAATGTGGACTCCCATATTCAATTTCTTTCCCTTCCCTTCTCTCCCTCCCATCAGTTGAGAATACTAAAAAAAATCTTGCACAAAATATGGTTTTGTTGAATAATGCAGCCTGTATACAGATACAGATACACACTTTAATTTCATTCTAGGTATCCTTTTCATAATATGCTATATCAAAACTGGTTCCCATAGCAACATATCCTTCTTCTCTTCTTCCTGCTTTTCAAATAATAGATCAGAAAAAAATTGAAACCCTGGGTACACTGGCAGTTTTACACATGATTTCATCTTGTTATTGCCTTCAAAACCATATACATGTTTTAAAATGAGATTCTCAGTCATTTTTTTAAAAATGAGATTTTCAACTATTTTTTTTCCCGACCTAATCAGAAGTGGTCAGAACCTTTGAAGAATGGAACATTGCTTTCCCAGTTTGACAAGTTTCACCTTAGGGACAAATGGGATAGATAGAAGCACTCTGCCGCAGTCCTGGTTCCAAACCATTCAGCCCAAGGGTCCCACAGATGCAAGGGAACAACAATTTGTTGACTTTAAGCATCTTTATAGGCTATCCCAGAAGATACTGTTACATTAATAAATGACAATTTGGGCCTGAATCTGCTCAAAATAGTACCACCATATACTGAAAACGTATCACTAATTTTTACCTATGGCTATAACTGATGTCAGGTTCAGTTCTGGATGCCCCTAGATTATATTGCCAGAGCCATGGAGAAAGAACTAAAATCAGTTGAAACCGAATCTAAAGATCCTGGCAATGAAGGCAATGAAGAAAGTGCACGAGGAAAGTCATACAAGTCTTTGCCTATCAACAAACTTGTTAGAATGAAATATGGTTGTCATCTGCTTTCCCCCAGCCACCAGAACTTGCTACACACCTGATGCAAAGTTTTAAACACATCCAGGAGTCCTATTCTTATGGCAAAATTGCCATATCCCTTCCTGAAAGAATATATAATTGGCCACTATGAAACAACTATCCATTATTTATAGAAAAAGGAATCAGTTTGAAGCTTTTACCTATGCAGCAATCTAATCCAATTGAGCAGATCTAGTGCCTTCCTCCATGCCCTCAACCATTATGGGGTTCTAATGATTGAAGAGGGGCAAAGTTGCTTCATTTGTTTAGTAGTAGAAGGAATGAGTATGGAAGATCATATCCAGGTTTATGTGATAGTGCATTTATTATAGTTTGTTCGGTGAGTCAAAATATGTATGATATAAAGGCTGAAACAGGAGAAAAAATGGTTCTAGTCGATCTAACCAGATGTGATGGATTGTGTTTTTACAAGTATTCCAAATTCTGCATACTTCCACTGTAGATTTCTCTCTCTCTGACAAATGGCTCCTTTGTTGGAACTCCACTTTTATTGCAGTGTTTTGGGGGGGAAATGCAAGGAGCACAAGGGTGGATGTACCAACCTGTTCCAGATTGACAAATACAATCAAGGTAATCTCCAAACTACACCCTGGTCTGAAACCAACTGAAATAGGTCTGGATAATCCAAGGGGTTTAAAATTACAAGGTAGTCAATATTGGTTGGATATCAGAAGAAAATTCCTAATAATGGAATGTAGAATGGAGTACTGTAATCTTTTTTTGCTAAAGTTATTTAAAGACAGACAGAATTACCATATTTCAGAGATGCTGCAACATAGAATTTCTAAAACAGGTATATATATCTACATTACCTTCCAACATACCATGATTTTAAAAAATTCTTTGTCTTATTCTTGGAAGTTTCTTAGAAGGCAACACTTGGGCAGGCATTCTCTATGAAGTAAAAGATTGGAGTTTCACAAAACAGATGGCTTGTAACTAAAAATAATTAACCAACACAGCACTTTTTGCATAATTTTCCTTTGTAGAATTTGCATTAATGTCAGATTGCTTTTCTTGAATTCACTTGGAAGCTTTGCTGAGTTCAGTAAATTCAAGTAAATATATATAGATTCAAGTTTTGGGCTCAGTAAATATAACTCATACATCAATATGACATAACATGAATTTTTAATAGCCAAGAAGTAGACTATAAGTATATATAAAGCTTGGAAGGAAAGTATTTACTATAGAATTATGTGCACTTTTTAATATTTTTATTCACTGTTCATGCAAGAAGATGAAAGTACAGAATCCTCCATGCTACATCTGATCATTTTGAGGCTGTGAAAAGTTAATGTTGGCTTTTCTTTTTTATAGGCTGAGACTGTAACTCAATCTTCTCCAACAGGATCTTTTCAGGTATGCTGGAATACAACACAAAACTTTGCTCATGCTGGCTATGACTATTAAGCATTGTACTACAATATATCTACATTGCAACAACTGCTATCCCCTCCCCCTAAAATAAAACTATTTAAGCAGTTATACAACACAATATTGATTTTTATATAAATTATTAAAATGCTATACTCAAGCAAAGAAGTATATGATGTATGACATCATGATTTCCACTTTCCACTGTGCAGAAAAGAGGGATTGGAAAATCATTTTTTAGTTTAGGCAAAAAGCTTGCCTCTAAAACATTTTTAATATAGGTCTTGTGCAAAAAAGGATCTTCTAAAATTCAAGTACACAACTACACTTGTCAAAAATATGAAATTCCAAATTTGAAAATTTAAATATTTATATATAGATGTTATGTTTTTATGCCTTCCATACTTTCTAGACTCATTCTGTGAGGAAGATGGGAAGTTTCTAAATGTGATAAATATCAGAAATGATTTATTTCATGAATCCAGAAAAGACTATGGGACAATTACCCAATTCAAAAGGTATTATGTATTGACGGTTTCTTTTTTAAGTGTATATTCTTGTATTCCAATATTATTTTGCAGAGATAAATATTCATGATTACATGAATAAATATTCAAAAGGTTTTGGGATGCCCGCAATTTGCCAACTGGTGATCATACCAGCTCATTCTGCCCAAGTATTTTCTGCAAGTCAAATCATATCTACTTAGGATGAGTATTCCTTAATTTACCTACATTTGTTTTATTTTTCAAGAGTCCCTTCAATGTTACAATAAAAAACCAAACTTAAATTGTTATTTCGATATTTATATTAAACGCTACACCGAAAGAAGAGCCACAATAACATATATACAGGTAGTCCTCAACTTATGACAATGGAGCCCAAAATTTATGCCCCATTTTAAGACATTGCTTGCCACAGTCGTTAAGTGAATCACTTAAGTTAGCAACCAGGTTGTTATGTGAATCCGGCTTTCCCATTGACTTTGCTTGTCAGGTCACAAAAAGTGATCGCATGATCCTGGCACCCCAGCAACCCTCATAAATTTGAACCAGTTGCCAAGTGGCTGAATTTTGATCACATGGGGGGGGGTTGTTGTGTGCTACAAAGGACGCAACTGTGTAAAACGGTCATTAAGTCACTTTATTCAGCACCGTTGTAACTTCGAACGGTCACTAAGAGAATTCTTGTAAGTCGAGGACTATCTGTATTGGCTACCTGGGTTCCCCGATCTGAAGCCATCCAAGCCCATAATTCCCAGCCAGGCTAGAAAAGGCTTTTAAGGCCGGCTGGTTTACAGCAGTATATAAATCTGAAAAGGGGGAGTCACTTAGCGAGACTTCGCCGGCAGAAAACCCGGACTTCGGCTCCTCCATTCCGCACCAGGGCAAGGGACCGGACCTGCAGCGCTCTCCAGGCCGGTTGGTTCTCGCGCGGCTGTTCTCCGAGGAGAGAAGCGGAGCAGAGAAACCGGGGAGCAGATCCCGCCGCCTCTCCGCGGCTCCTCAAATTCTCCATCCTCTTCACAGGGCGGCCCCGTCACTTTCCTCAATCAACCAGCAGGCGGAGCTGCAGGGAGTGCCCCCCCCACCCTTCCGCGGGCTGCGCAGGGAATATGGGGAGGGAAGGAAGCGGAAGAGGAGCTGCCGCTGCCGCCGCTGAGGGGAGCCCAGCGGGTGCTGTAGTTGTGTGTGTGGTGGGGGGGGGGGAAACGCTGACGTGTGGCGCGGACGGCTGGCTCCGAGAACCGAGACAAAAAAAAAAGGTCCGTTACGACACCGACGGAATCTCCTTTTGATCTCACAGTAACCAGGTCAGCCCCCCCTCCCCCTTAGGGGCCGCGGGGAGGGGGGGCAAAAAGACCCGGATGGGGTCTCATACAGGGCGGGGGGGGCGCTGAAGAACAGGCGGCGGGAGGATTATATTCCAGTGCGATCTGCGCGTGCGGAAAAGGAGGGGGAGGAGGAAGGGGGGGGAAGCCGCGACTCGCGCGCCTGTTCGAATCCGAAAGGAAAGGAGGGGGCATCTGCGCGTGACGTCAGGTAACGTACTCTCCTTTCCCTCCCCTCGACCCGGACCACTCCTCCGTGCACGGACGAGCACGTTACGGGCGCCGCTTGTTGTATCCGGGAGTCGACGGACACGTGCGCGCCGCCTCTGCCATGTTAATGCTCAAAAGGAGGCTGGGCGGGTGGAGATGGGAGTTCTCGCGAGGTCAGCCCTCGTTCCCGTGGGAGCTGACCGGAGGCAGGATGGCGGCGCTGCGCTGGGCGTCATGGGTAATAATGGTAACGGGCAACCGGGAGGTGAGGGGGGGGGAAAGGGAAGGAGGGCTAGGGGCGGTGCGGTATGTGTGTGTGCGTTACTTGAGCGTCTGCGTGTGGGGCGGGGCTGAACACTGCGGGGAGTTTGACCTGGCAAAGAGTTTTGCGCGTCTTCGTTGGGCTTTTCCCATCCCCCCCGCACCGCGCGGCGCACCGCCGCTTTGCGGCGCCTAGTCCCCACATGGTGGCTGTGGCGCCCCCTGTCGGCCGTCTAGCCTTTGGACCCTGAGTTTCGCCAAAATTCGTACCTCAGGTCTCGAGCTGTTTAGTAACCACTTGTGAAGCTCTGCCCCCCCCCCCCCCACAAAGTAACAGGGATGCAAAATTGTCAGGACCATGGCTGTTCCTCTCGCTCCTACTTCTGAAGTGCCTGTGGCATTCCATAGCTGCTGCATTGATTGATTGATAAGTGTGGATGACTTAACGTGGTGGGATTGGGGAGATGACCTCGATACAACAAAGCACCACTAAAATAATGCTTCCTCTGTCAGAGCCGGGGCTTGCAGTCCTAATGACTTTTGTCAAGTATACTAAGGAGTTTATTCTGCAGTACTGTGCTTTTTTAAAATAAAACCCAACTGTATCAAAACAGACAATTTTTTAATTGGAGGCAATATAAATTCAATAAATAACTAAATAGAAGAAGCCAAGGCAAGCATGTTAATAAATCGATTTTACATATCAATACAGGTAGTCCTCAGTTCAAAGTTACAACTGTACAGAAAAAAAAAAAGACTGTTGACCGTTTTTCACAGTTGCAACCTTTGCAGCCCATGCTTGGCAACTGGTTCATATTTATAACTGTTATGTCCCAAGATATGCGATCCCCTTCTGCGACCTGACAAGCAGAGTCAGTGGAAAAGCCAGATCACTTAACAACCGGGTTACTAATTTAACAACTGCAGTGATTCCCTTAACAACTGTGGTAAGAAAGGTGCTAAAATGAGGCAAAACTGACTGAACAGTCTCACTTAACAACATAGATTGTGGGCTCCATTGTGGTCATAAGTTGAGAACTACCTATATTGTGTGAAGGCACATTTTGTGCTGCTTGCTGTTAGTCTTGCGTGAAGATGTCTTAATAGATTTTATGATGTAGCATAAGCCCTGCTTGCTTAGTAGTCTTGTTGACTGCATCTAATGAAGGAACTTTTTTTGCAAATCACATATAACAAAACTACCTTGCAGAGACACCTAGTTTGGCTGTCCAAACCAAACGTTTTTATTGTTCAGTTGTAACTTCTAGATTTTGGTTTTGGGGGGTGGGTGGGTTTGTTGTTAAAAGTAAAACTCACTTGATTGGCTTTTTAAAAACTTTGGATTTTATAAGTACATATTAAAATATTTTTATATATATGGCAAGTATGTAAAGGGAGGTTAAGGCTTTTAATAGGCATCATGCAAAGTTACTGTGTGGGTGCAATTACAAATTGTTCCTTAGAAATCCCATGGAATTGAACAGGAAAGGTGAGATTAAAATGTAATATGGTAAGTATCTTCTTTCTGCTAAAGTGAATTTTCCTTCTGATCAAGTTGGATTCTTGGTATCTACATGAAAATATCTGTGATGTTTTCTTGGCAACAGTCTCTTTTCCTGTTCTGCATTTCCATAGGAAAGATCAAGCCAAATGTCACCAGTATATATTCATGTACTGTAATAAAAGCTTCAGGGTTCTTTTTTAAAAAAAATCCATTTAATTATTGGATTGACTGTCAAACTGCTTCTCCTTTCATACTAAGAACACATTTCCATTCTGCAACTTGTACACAAAAATGTGGATTGATCTCTTTTATGAAGACTTGTGTTATGCAGAAATACTGCTGGAGAACATAAATGTATTTTATTTCTTGGGCTTTATCTTGGAAGTAAATAGTGTTTTAATGAAATATTATTTAAACATATTTCAAACCACATTAATGTTTCTGTAGCATTTTCTAAATTTATTGAATATTGCTCCAAAGGTTGAGATTAGGATGCTTATGGAGCCCTTGTTGAGATTTTAAAATTATTTTGTCCAGGCAGTTGTTTTTCATTATGTTGCTTTTTTAATTGGGTTTCAATTATATCTTTGATATTTTGTAAACTGCTCAGAGTCCTTTTGCAATTGGGTGGCCTTAACAGGTTAGATAAATGAATTAAAAAAAATGTTATTCTGATAGAGCACAATTAATGCTTTGTTTTCAGTAGTTACATGATGGTTCAACAAGTTCTAGAATAGCGATGCTGCTGTTTCCCACTCCAGCTTAATAGTACAGTTGTGTGTGTGTACACACACACACACACATACACACTCATACACATACTGAAAACTAAGTCACACTGAAATTAATGGGATTGATTCCCAAATAGATATGCTCTGAGAGGATTTAATCAATATATGCTTACCAGAGTCTTAATATCAACAGTCAGGAAAATCAATATTATAATATTTCAAATGTCACATGGGAGCTTTGGATATTTCCTTTAACTTTCTTTACTGATTGCAGTATGGTAAGTAATGAATAAATGTGTGCTTCATTTTATAAAACACCAGCACAAAATTTCCCTTCTTATAATACTCTAGTCTAAGAGAGTGGTGTTTTGGAAAATGCATGATTCTTATCTCTTAGGAAAGTGAACATGTATAAGGGGTCATAAGAGAAGTCCTTTTTATTATGAAAGATGAATTTTAATATGGCTGAATGAGTGTACGGATTTAATTTCCTTACTAGGTATTATGAGTAGGCAGTATACAAGTTGTCCATACAATAAATAAAGGTTATTATGAATTAATAATGTTGAGCTGAGTCCAACTTTATGCAAGCAGAAGTCAGTTTGGGTAACAGAGCTTTATTCTTTTTTAGAATTAGAATTAGGAGAACTTTATTGTTATTGTACAAGTACAACGAAACTGGATGCACCCCAGCAACTGTTCGCAATACAATAAAACCAAAGCACTTAAAAATGAAGATAATAGAGTACCCACGTCTCCATTTGCAATTTGAAAGTACAATATCTACAAATATACATAAAATATACATCCTCTTAGAGCTTCTGTCGTATCTTCCACATCCAGAAATTTAGAACAGATTGGAAGGATATAAGCTTGGAAGAGTTTCATTTAAAAAAAATTCATTGAATTCTGCCTGTTTTTTTTAAAAATTATGTATATTTAACTGAACTGAACTGATAATTCAGCAGGTGTGGAGAAACTTGATTTATTTGATCAGTAATTGTATAATTCATTCTCTATTTATTTGGGGGATAAATAATTGTATTTTGTACTTGCTACCACCATCCAAAAATGATAATACCAACCTAAAAAACCCAAGGTTATCTCTTTTTCTTATAGGCTCTTTTCTATCTGGCAACATAGAAACAGACACAAAACTGGATAGAATACTTCTACATTCTGACTCATTTTTCAGAAGTGAAGTTCATATAAATTTCATTTGTCAAATTTAAAAGGCCATCAAATTGTATAAAGGCTCTTGACAGCTATACAACATTAATTAATTATGAATATTTATTTAAAAACGTACATAACCACTCAACACTAAATCTTGATGCTATGCAGTAAATAAGTACAATTGAAAACTAAAATGCCAGAAGAAAAAAACAATTACTAAAAAATAAATACCCACTATCACAGCCTGGAGGAAGAGCCAAGTTTTCAAGATTTTTTTAACATGGTCAGGGTGGGGCCAGTTGTAGTTTATGTAACAGTTGCATTGTATTATCGGATAGTGTTGGAAATGAATGTATTTGATTTGATTTTGGTGTCACCCATTTCCAAATGAATATCTTTAAAGGTACATCAACAAAATGTCTTCTCTATACAACAGTATTACTGAACTGTAGAATGATTGTCACAAAGGATGTCAGTATTATATACACACACCAGTTATTGCTCTTCTGGCTTCTCTCCCTCTTCAAACTGACTCCACATTCTACCTCTGTCTTACAAGAATTTCCCAGCTGTAATAATAGTCTACCATTTCATCGCATATTTATAATGAAAGCTTACCTCTGCTATCCTTGTAGGGTAAAAGATTTAAGAAAAATGGAATTTTCCCCATAACAAAATAAATACAGTCTTTTTATATATCCTGTCTTGGTAAACAATCAGCTATCACAATTTTATCTCCTGCCAGTTATTCGTATATATAGCTGTTGCTTTTTTTTTTTTTTTTTGCTTCTAGTTTTACACAACCATATTTCCATTGAGGAAAGCATCGTATCACCATTAATAGCTGTTTCTCGTTTAGATTTCCTAATTTTCTTGCCTCCCTGTTGAAATTCTCCCCATTTTCCTTTTTTCCAGGTGAAATACCTGAAATGGTATTAGTTGTTGTCCATTATGGAATTGTAAAAAATACTTTTTCAGTCTTGTGAAAAAATAGGAAAAATGATATTTTACTAGAGTAGGCTTTAGGATTTATTCATCCAATCTTGTAGTTTTCAAATCTCCTTTAAATTATGTGGGTTTTTTTTTCTTATTTCAATGTC